CCCAAAAGATGAGTCCATGCCCCAACCACCACACCCTGGGAATGCGACCTGATTTGGAAAAAGGGTCTTACCTGTTTACCAAACACGATCACCTGCAGAAGCTCCTACACAGAACAGATAAGGAGCTTGGCTGTTTGGTGTTGCTGCAGGAGGAGGGCCCAGAGCCCTGCCCCCAGGCCCCTACAGGTGTCCCTGGGCCCCTCAGGCCCTAGAACTTCTGTAGAGCTGTCAGAAACCTCTGGACTAGACCTCTCGTGATTCAATAAACACGAAGCAGTTTCTGCAGACAATGGACTAAGACCTATGCTTTCTTGCCAGCATTTACTTTACCTGTGTTGGTGGGTGAGTTTGAGTCAGGACTTTCCTGGTTTCAAAAGAACAGCAGATTCTGTTCTTTCCTTGGTCCAAGATTCTTAAGATGGCAGATTCTGATGGAAAGAGCAAAACAAAAGCCGGCTTTAAGTGCTGCTTCCATCGTTTCCGGGCCAGCGGAATAAGAAGGGAGATCCCCAGCCAAAGGGCCCCAGCTCCGCACCCTCCGGGTAGGTTCAGCACATGCTGGCTGTGGAGAAAGGCCAGGCCTGTCCCAGCAACATACTGCTCGTTGAGGAAACGGGTCTTGTGTCCTGTCCGGGGCCTGCAGAGTCTCCAGGAGGTCTGAGCAGCAGCAGCTGCCTCCCGCACTGGCTGCCTATCGAGTTGCCTTAGGTGGCCTTAGGGGAGCCACCAAGCCTGCACGTCGGGGAAGACTGGCTAGTTATTGGAACAGCTGTGCATTCAGGTTCTGGGTGCCAGGGCTCAGGTAACCCAAGAGTCCTTTGAAATATGTTGCTAGAGCTGGTCACACCCTTGCTTCTCAAGCTGTAGCTCGACTGCTTCATAACCTGTCACATCTGCCTGTTTTATGTGCAAGGCCTGAGAGCCTAGCGGATTGAGAAGACACTCGTGAGCAAAGGGAGCATGGATTGTTGCAAAGGAATATTTGTGTGGACTGGAGAGCAGGGGACTGTCCAGGTCAGTTCTCTCCCAGCTCAACAGGCATAAACATAACCAGCCTGTGGGACTGTGGATTATATCAGGGTGATGATCTGTCCTGTTTGCCTGGGACAGTCCTGGTTCATGCCTGTTGTCCCACAGTCACCCTCACTGTACGTGACTGTGTACCTGACCTGAGTGCAGATGCCATGTGGATAATGCATTCAGGTAAAACCGTGCACCTATGTGTGCCGACAGCTCAAAAGGTGACTGTGGGTTAGCACCATTGCGCGGTCTCGGGTGAGGCATGTCACCATGTCACACACATGCGGTGTACAGGGGTGACATCATGGGACAGAATGTCCCATAGACCATGCTTCAGCTCTTTTCTTGTAGCCAACTGGCTCTCAGACTTGAGGAAATTACTTAGTGTAGCCCAGCTATAAATTAGGACTAATGACCCAGCCATCAGAGCTGGTGTAATTACTAAGTAACCTGTAAAGCATGTAGCCTAGTTCCTAACACATAACAGGCTGCCAACAAATGGCATTATTATTATTATTATTATTCCGTGGCTGTTGTTATTTGGCTTTAATCTCTCCAGCTCTGAAGTGGTGGGAGGTGACCTCTGTCCTGTCCTGCTCTCCGGGTCTTTAAGAGGCTGAGACCAGAGCCTAGTGTCCCTGTGAGTGTGTGCGGTATTTGAGGTGGGGACTCTTCACAGCATTTGCTTGCCTGCCTGTCCAGAGCGTCCCGTCCCCTCTGACTTGGGAACTGGATTCCCAAGACATCATCCCTTCTACCCACCCTGGTGGCTCTGTCATCTCCGGCCCTCCCTGCCCCTCCCAGGCCTAGCCTACTCCCCCCTCCCTCCCACCAAGCCACGCTGTGTAAACACCAAGGCCAGATGTCATTTACTGGAGCTGGCTGGTGGGAAGGGGGGTGCCACCCAAGGGAGACTGGGGACCGAATTCCTCGTCCTGCTGGCTCCGCACCTCTCCGTATTCCCACCCTGAGCCTTGTGCCCTTCCTCTGCCTTTGAATGAAGGTGTCATTTGTTTCTAGTTTATTCCCTATTTCTTTTCACTAATTTGCTGCCCAGTATTCCTCGACCTTTTTTTTCTTTTAAACGTACCTGATTGGAGAGGGAGTGTGACACAGTGGCCTCTGGGGCCTCTCACTCCCAGCCCCCACCCTGGTTCCCATCAGGAGGCTCTGCACTGTTATCAGTATTAGCACTGCAGCGTGATGGCTATTATTATTATTATTAGGGTTGTCTATCTGTGTGATTGTTCAACTTCCCAGGTAATTGTCATCCTCGTTGATGCCCGTTGGGAGCTGCGGGACTTTTGTGAGAGTTTATAAGCAAGTAAAGTGGACAAAGTGGACAGGAAAAGCCTCTGGACTACATTAGAGTCATGGTCTGAAGGAGACTCACCTTTCTGCAGGCCCACCCCTCTCAGTTCTGTGGCAAAAGAAAGCGGGATTCTTTTTTTTTTTACTGTATTTATTACCATTTTATTCTTTTTTAAAAAAATTTAATTTTTATTTTTGTTTAAAGAATTACAGATATCCCTTTTTCTCCCCAATGCCCCGTTCCCCCCCGTTCCTTCCCCCTCCCCAGACCCTCTCCCCACCATTGTCCGTGTCCTTGGGTTGTGCATATAAATTCTTTGGTTACTCTCTCCCCCTCCACCCCCCGCCCTCCTCCATCCCTCTGACATTCGTCAGTCTCCTCTATGCTTCCATGTCATTGAATCTATTCTGTTCATCAGTTTATTAAGTTCTTTAGATTCCACATATAAGCGAGATCATGTGATGTTTGTCTTTCTCTGCCTGGCTTATTTCACTTAGCATAATATTCTCCAGGACCATCCATACTGGGAAAGCGGGATTCTTGCTGGGCCCGGTCGGGTGAACCGACTCCCAGTCATATGCCCTGAGAGCAGGTTATAACGTAGGGAGGGTGCGAGGAGCTCAGCAGGGGGTGGGGTGACGCTCCCGAGACCCCATCACTTCAACAGCTGCTCTCTCTTGCCTCCAGGTCAGTGTGGGGCGCACCTGGCCTCTCAGCCACAGCCGGGAGGTGAGAGACACGGTCCCACCACGGGGCTCTCTTTTGGAAATTGTTCTGTCCTTTGTCTACACCCAAGTGCCCATGGGAGACGGCGCCTGCGCCAGGGCACCGCTTTCTCAGGCTGTGCCCTGTGCTGGAAATGCAGGGGCAC